AGCTCTCTGCAAGCGCTTTTTATTCGTAAGAATTTCCAAAGTGTTATGTAAACACATTAATGAATTTTTGACAAAATGGTTAATTGGTCAAGGACAGACTATCAAAGCTTTGCCGAGAAATTAAAACAAAACCTTGACATTTTTTCCTTCAAAAGATCTGTGTAAACTGATCCAAAAACGCTAGCAAGGACGTCTGCGAAGTAAGCTCACTGGGAAAACAACGGAAGTTGTTCAGAAATTGGAGCAAAGCAGAAAACCTAGCCAAATGACCTTGCATTGTTTAGGAAGGATACAGAAATCCAATTCAGATTTCATGGTGCTTGTTGTAAAAACAGGAGAACAAGATTTGATCGTGCAAAAATATGTTAAGAAATTACCACCGCAAAGAAAAACTCACCTTGGCTAGATACTTTATAGAATATCGCCAGTAAGAATAGCAACACTCTCATTGCTAATCTGAAAGTGAATAGGAAGGTTTGCAGAAAAAAGAATGCGGAAGGAAACTGTGTAAACGAACTTCTAGGAGAGATACACGGCGCATAAATAGAGGGAGACCTCTGAAGATATGAGGGATTTGGGAAAATTATTTAGAAAATTTCGAAGATTTTCGATTTGACATTTTTTCAAACAGCAGAATTACAGCATTTGCAGACGGTTTGAGTGCGGGCGTGAAGCACCTATATTAACCCTAATTCAAGAACTCATTTTAAGTTTAGCTAACATAATAATCTTTTTTTTCAGCACTTTTAATTTTTTGCGGACCAATGCTGATAGGGCTGTACAAGGGCTAAAGCCATATATAAACTTACAATAGACCTACCGTAACAAAAAGTGTATGTTTCTATATTAGAGTTTGAATTTTGTATCGAGCTAGCCCCTTAAAAATGAATTATGGTTGAAAGAGAGTTTGAAATGAAAGGGTTAAACAGTCCAACCATTTTCTAAAGATTTTCTTGTCATGATCTCCTATGAAAAGTTTCTGGAAGGCGTCAAACCCTGAATATCAGATTCTTCAACCCAGTTTAGCCATTACCATCTCAATTTTCTGTTGGAATAAATCGAGAATTAGAGTTATTTTATCTTGAGCTATCTATTTTTCAGAAGAAGTTTATTATATTACATTAAGTTTATGATTACATTCTATATAAAACTTCTTCCGTAACGTCAATTAACGCCAAACAGCGAGCAGATTAAATTTGGGGAACGCAAATTAGAGTAAAATAATTTCTTAGTCAATCTTGTTTATCCAAATCTACATTCTATAGTCCTTGTTTTCGTATGTGAGCTACATATACTGACCGTTGCCAAACTAATTATTGGCTCAGAATTGAACTATTTTACTTAACTAAACAAAAATCACAAGATAGCTACGTTCAAATCGAACTATATTTTCAACTAATGACACCGGGCCGCTTATAGAAGTGTTTAACCTATAGGTTCTTAATTGATATCAGTAAGAAAGAAGGACAATAAGAAAGGATTGTGAATTATTCCTAGAGGAAGGATAATCCTGTAGAGCACTGTAGAAGAAAGAAGGCTATTTAATGGCACCGAGAAATATGGACAAAAACTGGAATGTTGATCACTTTGTAAGCGTATGTGAGAATAGCAAAGATCACGGCAATTTGAAAAGCAGATGCAGATGAAAAAAATCATTGCACTTTAGGTGATACCTCATTGTCATCAAAATCAAGTTATTCACGTTACAATGAGAAAGCGAAACAAAAGACATTTTTATAAATTGATGTAAGCCAAGGCTAAAAGTGGCAAGTGCTTGTCATCGAAGCTCGTCATCACTAGGCTT